AGATGAAAGGATGAAGCAAATGGGGATGTAAGGGAGGCAGGCACAGCAGAGGAGGGAGCAAGATGCTGTTCGGGCACTGGTTTGTCATCAACTCTCACTAGAACCATAACCCTCAAAAAGGCCAGTGGGCTTTTTTTCAAGTTAGTGTAAGGAGAAAACTGGGTCTCTGAGAAGCAGCAGGTGGTTCTAGGAGGAGTCAGGACTATAGGCTTGGGCCAGTGGAAGAGAGCCAACAGTGAATACTGGAGCTGGCCCCCAACCCTGAATTTTGAATTTCAGTAGGATGACTAGAGACAAAGGAATTTTCTCCAAGTATAACCTCCCTAAATAGGGAAACCGCCTACAACTGATTCTGAGTCTTAGAGAAGTAGATTGTTTGCCGAATGAAGCACTGTTTTCACCTCCAAAGAGTAGAAATTTAAAAATATGTATTTTATAAAATGTCTAGCCTTTCCTTAAATTCTAAGCTCCCTGAAATGCTTACCTTAATGGTAGAATATCAAAATGTTTCTGTTGTTCTTGTTGTAGTTTTAAAGAGGAAAACTTTGATTTTAAACTTGGTAAATGTCATTTAAAAACAACGTAAATACTAAAAATTTTAATATTAACAGTTAATATTTACTGTTATCTTGAACTCTAATGCCACAAGTATTTCACCCTCTATTATATGTTCAGCATTGTACTGGTTACTTACATCACCCTCAATTAAGATTGTTTATTGGCCTAATTTCAGATGAATAAAGCACCTTGTGCTTGTGCAAACCTGCATTAAATAACTAGAGGGTTACTGTGTCTGGTCGTTCCTAGCAACACTGTGTAACAGTAAACTATATAATAGTCTTTGAATGTGCCTTTGTCTTTGATTAAACAGCTCAGGGATATTTGTGACTGTTATTCTAGTGGGATAAAATTTAGCCATTTAGCCTTTTGCAATGAAATTTAAAGGGTTTTAATTTTCATTTGTAGAAAAAGTAAGTGTACATTTTAAAAATATGAGTGTCTCACAAAGAGCGGTAGGTTATTTTTATGGGGCTTATTCTCCCTGCACTAAAAAAGACAACTGATGGGCACCAAGAAGCAGTTTCCCTAAGTTACATCTAGGGCATTGTGACCTGTGTACTGAGAGTAGTGCCGTGGCTATTTGTGCTTTTTCCAAATGATGTGTTAATTATCCAAATTCGAATTGGTCACTCTACAGTCCACTTACAATGCTCTTTGGGCATGCATGCACTTTTAGAGGTGTGTGTGCGTATGTGTATACACATAGATGCTGCTGTAATAAAACTCTGGGTGTGCCGTCTACATGCTATTTGAAGTCAGGAAGCTGTTACAGTTTAATCCTTAGAATCTAAGGAATCTATGTTGTGTACAGAAGGGCCTCTATATCTTGTTTTGTCATTTTCTCTTTGATTTTGTCTTTTCCTCTCATACTTTGGATGCAAAAAGATTTAGGATGGGGAAAAAATCCAGAATTAGTAAAATCACTGTGCTTTAGGTATTTCATATTCGGAGAACATTGTCTTATTGTATCACTTATACACACACACACACACACACACACACACACACACATCTTTATTGATTTCAGAGAGAGGAAGAGAAGGAGAGAGAGAGATAGAAACATCAATGATGAAAGAGTCATTGATCGGCTGCCTCCTGCACACCCCGACCTGGGGATCAAGCCCTCAACCCAGACATGTGCCCTAACCTAGAATTGAACCTCCATCTCCTGGATCCTAGGTTGACACTCAACCGCTGAATCACTTTTTATTATCTCTCAACAGCTAGGTTACTGAACTAAAATCTTGTTCAGTTCTAGTTTGACTCTTAAAGATTGAGTTAATTATTTGAGTGTTTGTGTGAACTAGAATTAGAAATAGACATAAATGTATTGAAGTTGATGGGGGAAGGATGATTTAAGATAACAGAAAGCCAAGAGGTTAAAGAACCATTTTCAGCACTGGTACAGAAAGATCAAGGTGACTATAGGGAACAATTACCTCAGAATGCCTTAAATTTGAGTTTGAAAAATCTTCAGGGAATCCTGAGGCTTCTAACTGAAATTAGATTTTATCCAAAAGGAAGTTTTTCTTTCTCATCTGAGAAATATTCTGATAATTTTCTGTTTCATTTGCTTAATGAGATTGTGGATATTCTTTTTTTAATTAAGGAGAGTTTGGTTTGTTAGCATTTTAAATGTCATCCATTTGGCTGATATTTAAAACTCAAACTGAGTTTAAGCTTTTTGTTCTTTTGCCCTCCCTATGCTTTAAGTTGTGGGCTAAGAGTGACTTGAAAACCAAGGATTTCAATTATTTCAAAACTAGGAAACTAACAAAAGTTATTTCAATTTAGGTTATACAATTGGTACAAAAGTTCTTGCTCATTGTGATAGTAAATGATGGCAACCCAGTAAGCTAGAAGTTTCTCTTCATCTTTCAGGAAGCATATTATCTGGTTTAGAAGATAACTTAACCCTGATAACAGATGGCTGCCAGGCAGATAATGTTGGAACCAGTGATGGAAGGAGGAGGATTCCTTCTAACTGGGATAGGTAGGAATGCTGCATAGAGCACACAGGAGCTCTGTCCTGGGCCGAAGAAATGAGCTGATCCACCTATTTAAATCTGTAACCAAAACTGGTACATCTCTACTACTATGATACAATGTCAGGCCCACCTCATAAAACTGAGGCATAATCAATTTGAGAGATTTTCAGCCAGTATTATAACCTTTGCCTGCCTCATATAGCTTACAATAATTTTTAAAAAGCTATCACTAATAAGACTAGCATCCTATATAGTCCTAGCAACAAGGTGTGTTGGGCCTTGAGGCCAGACAGAGCTGGGTTCATATTCCTATGACACCATGGTCTTGGGCAATTTACTCAGCATCTCTGAGCCTCTGCCCATCTGTAAAAAGGGTGATTACGCCAACTTTGCACGATGGGTGTGAAGATTAGGATCCATAAGTGGAAAGTTCATGGTATACCTTTTCTCATAATGCTCACTTAGATGTAAACTTCTTTCTCATACCTATGATATTTCATATATTCATCCCAATACTAAACAAAGTTTCCTGTCCCATCATGTTTTAGCTCTTAGGGAGTCATGGATCTGTAGATGCTATCTGAAAACCTGTACTTAAAATTGGGAGCAGTTCCAGATTCTGTAGCCCATAGATTTCAGGAATTTGACATTGAGTGATTGATTATATAGGTGCAAATCTCACATTTCTGGTTCTTGTACTTATATCAAGTATAGTCTTACCTGTTTTTTGAACTAAAATATTCTAATGGAGAAGCATGAGTGGGAACTTAAACTCATTGATAAGGTAACTGTCTTGTCAGTTCAGTCTGCTGTAACAGATACTATAGACTGGGTGTTTTAAACAGACATTTCTCACAGTTCAGGAGGTTGGGAAGTCCAAGATCAAAGGTGTGGGCAGATTCAGTTCCAGGTAAGGGCACTCATTCTGGCTTACAGATGGCTGCCTTCTTGCTGTGTCCTCACATGGTGAAGAGAGATCATTTTTCATGTCTTCTACTCAGGGCACTAATCCCATCATGAGGACTCCTGACCTAATTACCCCCTAGAGGCCTCGCCTCAAATACCATTACATTGGAGATTAAGGGCTTCAACCTACGAATTTAGGGGGACAAAAACATACAGTCCACAGCAATAAAAGTTAATTGAAAGTTTATTTTTTTGTTGTTGAAGCCATTTCTCATGGTTACTAACATTTCCCCCCCTTTTATAATTATATTTCTTAGTTGAAGGGCAAAACAGTTTCTTGAATGTTACCATTTCTGTGATAGGGATGGCTGGCTCACATGCCTTCCAGGACTGGGCAGGCACACATACCTAAGGGAATAGGCCACTGCAGACCACAGTGCGCTGCCTCAGAGGAGAGCAGCCCGGCCCCTGGCCTGCAGGACCCCAGCATACTGCTGGGCTTCTGGGTGTGTGTTTCTAAGGCTGGGATTCCGGATTTACGTGTAACTGTCAGGTAGTAGATGTATTGTTGTTTGTCCCTTTTTAAAAAATTTTAATACTGTGATAAGCCAAATAAAATAAATACAACTGTGTACTGGTCTGCTTTGTGGGACATCAGTTTGCCTCCTGTTCTCTGTCTTTTGCAAAAGGTACTCTTGGGTGTTTGCCTGAATGATCCAGCTCCATACCTTTCACTTACAGGTAATGTGTGTGTTTCAGTCGTGGTGATTCATAATCTTCACTGTTTATATCAAAGTCATGATTTAAAGCACGCGATTTGAGGGAAAACAAAAGCAGGTTCACCATGTCCTCTGTCCAGAAGAGTGTTACTTTGGTACTGAACTCTTGATTGTTATCAGAATCCCCCCAGGCATTGTTATAAATGCACTAGAGCACCTTGCATTGCCAGTTTGATCTGGCTTCCGAGTCAGGAAGTTGTCTTACGTTATTATTGAAAAACCCAAACTAAGTGGTTGAAACCCCTAAAATAACTGCTCCATATTGGTGAGTTGATCATTGAACTCTCCAATAGTGAGACGTACAGTGAATTAGTTAATAACCTGCCAGTAAGGAAGGATCATCTACCTTGATCGGAATATCTAAATAATCACTTTCATAAACTTATAGTAAGCCAATTGAGGAAATAAATTTTAAAATGCAACTTCTTGCAGCTGTAATTTATAGAACCTTAGCTTTGAAATAGTTCTCTCTTGCAGTACAAATTGTCAAAATAGGCATCTTGACCTTTCTGTAGGATAAGAAGTAGATCAGAGGAAGGAAGGAATTGAGATATAAGAGTTCTTGTTTTCAGTGCCACTGTTGTCTATTTTCTCCAGGTTTTCATATTATGCAAACATGCTTATGTGCTGTAGTGTATGAAAATGTGACAGCGTCCAGTTATTGTCTTCCTTTCCAACCTCCATGTTTCCCCGCCTTCTTCTCTTAACAGTCGCTCTGAGCACCAGACTGGAATAATGCTCATCTTTCTCTCCTTGGTTTCAACAGGTGGAATACATGTTGGTGTCTTTTGATCATGAAAATAAAAAAGTCCAGTTGGTCCTGTCTGGAGAAGAAGTTCTTGAAACTCTACAAGAAAAAGGGGAAAGGACAAACCCAAAGTAAGCTGAAGGCTTGTTTAGGTGTTTTTGAAACTGTCAGAACTACTAGCATAGACTCTTTCCTCAGATGTAAAGGAGACAGGATAGCATAGCAGGTTAGAGCCTGGGCTGTGATAATGGTTGCCTGAGTTGAAATCCTGGTTCCTGTCTTTAATAGCTGGGTGACGTTACGCAAATCACTTAACTTCTCTGTGCCTGAGTCCTCACCTTTAAGGTAGGGATAATAATATGTGCCTTGTAGGGTACTGATATTTTGAATCCATTAATATAATAAAGCACTTAGAATAGTAAAGTCAATATAAAGCCTGTTTACTATTATTTAAAAAAAAAATTGCTATAGTGTTACTGAGATCATAAACTATGACACTGGATAAAACTTGCAGATGGGTTTTGTTTGGCTGGAGGGATGTTTTGTTTGGCTGTCTATTTATTTAAATAGACAAAGAGGTGAAGGAGGCCTGTACTCTGCAGTTCGTTTTCTTCCTCACTAGATCTTGGTAGGTTGCACTTGAGTAGGCACCTCAGCACAGAACTGAAAGAGCCCTGAAGGCCTCATCTCCTTTTCTGCACAGGGGACTTGCTGGTCTTGAACAGAGAGTGCCCTGTGTGCATTTTCAGTTATTTATATATATTTTGGACCCAGTACTTTTAACCCTAACATGGTTGAATAGCTTTGAAAAATTAATGGCCTTTGGGAATTGTAAAGGAGTTTTTAGGTTTATTTATACCTAATAGTTTCTAAGATATTTGAGGCAACTTTTTAAAAGATCTAAAAGCTGAGTAGACTGCATGCAGCAAAATAAGGTGGAGCGGATTGTTTCCTTCTGTAGCCACCCTACGCTTTGGAGACCGGAGTATGGGAGTTACATGATTGAAGGGACTCCTGGACAGCCATATGGAGGAACCATGTCCGAGTTTAACACCGTTGAAGACAACATGAGGAAACGCCGGAAGGAGGCGACTTCTTTATTAAAGGAAAATCAGGCTCTTTGCACAATAACTTCATTTCCCAGGTTAGTTCCTATGTGAACATGCCCCAGCACACAGCTCAGAGCCCGAGGTTATAGAGAGCAAATCCTGACCAAGCTTTGACTCTGCAGTCATTAGACTTTATGGACAGGTCGCTCTTCACAGTACTGCCTCTGATAGACTCTGTAATGTTAGAGCTGCCCGCAAACATTGCATGCCTGGCCCAGTGGGTGGCGGCGGCCCGGAGCACTGTGGTAAGAGTCGTCATCTGGGCTTGGTGGGGAAGACCGTGAGGACCACCATGACTGTTAGCAGTGTGGCAGCGTCCCCCCAGGCGTAGAGGGAGCAGCACTTCCTGGGCCATGCAGCTCTTGACCCTGAGAGGAGTTGTGAGTTCCCTGATGATCAAGTGCTTTTCTCACTTGCTGTTCACACCCTCACATGTGTTTGCCTACCAGCAAATGGTGATATTGGCTGATCAGAGGGTCACCCGTTGGAGGGCTGGTATCAGTGCCCCTAGGGCACTATTGGCACATATTGTCAACAAGGGGCAGAGGTGATTAGGTCATAATTGGATATTATGTAGAAAAGAAAATTTAGATTTGTATCAAATATAGTAATGGCTAAAAGCTCATAAATATAAATATAGATAATGAGATTAGCTTACAATGAGGTATGTGCTACAATTATATGTAGGGCCTGTTTTTAAGAATACAGTTCTACCAGATTGTCAGTCTGATTGATTTGTCAGTGTGACCAAGTACGCTTACCTCCTCAAAGTTCACAAGAGCTTTGGGGATTGGTATCTATGTCCTGGGATAGTGTGAACTATTTTCATACTTTTTTCCCTTGATAAATGTCCGTAATGTACACGGGCATTCAGTCGTACCATTGGTCTTAAAAGGAAACTTGAATGAGAATTTCCTTTTTTAACATTTCCATTGTCACATCTAAATAGTTGAAACCTTATTTAGCAACTCATCAAACATTTAGAAAAATGTCTTTTATTTTCTGTGATTTCCTTCGTTCCATTTGTGCAAGCCACTCCCCTCTCCCTGCCAGAATAAAAACCCCAGCTGTGTGAGGGTGGACAGGTTTGCTTGGAAGAGAAGTGGCATGCTCCTTTGCCCCAGTGTTTGAAGGAGGAGGTAAAGAAATCATGCTGCCATTCACTCGGATACCTGAGTGCCTGCTCCACACCAGACCAATGCAGTGAGGGGATGTGATCATGAGGGGAAGTAGTAAAGGGGTGTGGGGCAAAGAGAGTGTGACATGGTTGTCTAATGGCCTCTGCAAAGTGGAGGAAGGCTCTTCCTAGGGAGGATGATTAGAATGACATTCAAAGTTCTAGTAGGAGTTTAGTAGGAGTGGAGAGGGAAGGGATGTCCTAGGGAGAGGGAGCAGCTTGGGTACAAGTTCTAGGATGAGTTGGAGGAGCACAGAGCCTTCTGAGAGCTAGAGGAAAGCCTGCTGGTGTGACAAGGATGCTGAGAGTGAAGTGGAAGTGTGTGGGGTAAGGTGATGCCAGGCAGGTAGTTGGTGGGCCAGATTGTGCTAACTAGGAATTTCGGTTGCTATCCTAAAAGCAGTCGGCAGCCTTGGGAAGGTTGGGTTGGGCAGATAGCATCACGTTTTAGTTCTGCAGCCCCTCGCTTGGACTGTAGTAGTGCCAGTGTGGTTGTAGAATGGGTGCAGGGTTCATTCGGGGGGAGACGATGGCCACCTGCATGACGGTGGGTGGTGGAGATGGAAAAAGTGGATAGACCAAGAGATGGCAAAATCAGCAAACCTGGAGGCTGTTGGTTAAGTAGTTATTATGAAATTTAGAATAATAAAGGCCAAGAAGTATGTTTACAGATGTTATTTGACAAGTTTCAGTGAACTGGAAAATTTAATATTTAAAAATTTCCTTTTTTCCCCATTATTTAAAAAAAAAAAATTTTGTAATACGAACCAGAATTGTTTTCTCTTACTTTAAATACAGGAACATATAGTAGTATGACAGTGGGCCCCAAAGGGACATTTTTTATTAAACTTGATGTGTCTTTTTCCTTGTGAGAATGGCTCCATATGGAACGTTTGCCCCTCCCCACCCTTTTTAATATTTAGCTTAAGTTATGATGAGGGAGAGTTGAGACAAGGAAATAAGTTTTATTCTAAAAATCTTAAGGAAAAAAGAAGCCTAGCCATATGTTTTATGATGGGAGGGTATTTTTGGAATTGAAAACTAAACAATAATATTTAGTTGTAGAAGCATCTCCTTACATCCATAGTAAGTGATACAGAAAGTTTTAGTTTGGGATCAAGAGTGAAAATAGTACTTGGTTTCTTAACTGTAAACTGATTTTTCTCTGTAAAGAGGCAAAACCCTAGTGTGGAATTGTCCAAAACAATGGTCATATGACGAGTTAAGTTTAATCAAACATATAGAATATGGAGTACTCAGTTCCTCAGCCACACTGGCTGCAGTTCAGAGCTCAGAGGCCACCTATGGCTGGTGATCTCATACTGGGAGTGACAGTGCAGGTGTCAACATGGCCATCTCGGCAGGAGGTTCTGTGGGCAATACTGGGCTAGAAGAAAAGAAAAAAGCTTCAGGAGTCTAAGGATCCGAGCTCTGACTCACCAGATCAACAGACTGGCTAAGAATCCCTGTGGTAAACAATGCACATGGCTGCAGGAGTCCCCATCAACCCTGAGAACGGTTTCTAGATAAGATCAACAGATTCAGTTGTTATTCACAGGCGGAAGTGGTCAGTCAACAGGTATTTCATTTTATGAAAGGTCGGGGTTGAAAATAAGTCACAGGCTAGTCTTGGCTCACAAGTTTCCTGTCCCTGATCTGAAGCCTGACAAGAGGCTCCCTGGTTTTGCTTTCACTCACTTGTTCATCTTGGTCCTGCCTCACAGCACACTTAACAATGACTTTAAAATTCTTAACTCCAAGAACTGGTGGTGTCACTGTAATTGATACGGAATTAGAGCTTCTGCTTAGGGATGCCTACAGAGCTTTCGTTTTCTGTGTTGGAACTAAAACTCTTCTTTAGGTCAAGTAGATAATAGGGTTGAGTTTTAGACTTCAGAGCAAGATTTCAGGGGTGGATGGGGACACCTGTAGAGACACTAACTAACCTAATCTTGAGGGATTTTTGAGGTGACCTGCAGAGGTAAAAAAAAAAACCACAGGAGACCTCTTTCAGATTCAGACAAAGCTTATGAGGAGGTTGGGCAGTGGCAGTGTGCAGGGGTCAAAAGGTAAGCTAAGAATTTAGAGCTAGTAAAAGGAAGCCTCAGAAGCTGTGTAGGGAGGAACCTACAACCCCTGACAATGGACATGACCAAGGGAAGGGGCTTGTGTGCTGTGGGTCGTTGCTATTAAATGAAGAGATGGGTAGGACAAAAGTGGATGTTTTGTAGATGAGTGAGTGGAAGCTCTCTGATGAGGTCAGTAAAGGGCTGAAGTCACAAAAGATCTTGGTGAATAATGTAAAGGCAAAGGGGTGGTTGTCATGGGGCACAGTGTTTACAGAACATTTGTGTGCCTGAGCCTCTGAAGAGGGGACTAATAGACACAAGCTATTTTAACAGGTGCAATGATGGCGAGACATAATTAACTCTTGAAAAAAATCCTATTTATTTAGTTCTTGAATTTTTTGTAGATTAGGCTGTCCTGGGTTCACACTGCCTGAGTTCAAACCCAACCCAGTCGAAGGAGGAGCTTCCAAGTCCCTCTTCTTTCCTGATGAAGCAATAAACAGGCACCCCCGCTTCAGGTGAGTATGGCTCTGTGTTTAAACACAGGTGCCTCTCGAGCAGATCCCTGCCTTCTGAGAGGACAAGATTCCTGCCCGGGAATCCTTTTTGAGCATGTGTGGAATTCTGATTCCTTTTGTAATTAAGCAGAGAAGACAGCAGGCATATGTACACACACCACCACCACTACCACTACTACTCTATTATGTGTCAGGAGCCCCAAAGCTGCTTGACTGTGGCTTCTAGTGCCGGGCTGGACTTGCCCATTTTCAACTCACCTTAAAGTCATTAACTTAGCCACTGTCTTCTCCTTTAGTGAGCAGATTCTTTTCCATCCTAGTCTGTAAACACCTATTTTGGGAAGCTTTCCCTTAGTTATTTCTACCTTTTCCCCCTCTCTGTAAGTTATCACCAGTATCTGTGATCCACTCATTCCATTCTTTATATACCCTGATAAGGTAAAATACGTACAATTTGCATATAATAGGCACTCTACCTTCTGTTCTATTATCTGTTAGTTTATAATTTAATTCTTGGGTTTAAGTTGCTTCAGGGCGCACACCAGACTGAACTTGGCTTTGTACCTTGTCTCACCCATCATCCTGAACCCAGGAGCCTGACCTAGAGTTAGGGGTGTTGGGACTTCTCAGTATTCATTTTAAAAAAAGGCCTGCACAGCCCGGCTGGCATGGCTCAGTGGTTGAGCGTAGACTTAAGAAACAGGTCGTCACAGTTCCATTCCCAGTCAGGGCACATGCCTGGGTTGTGGGCTCGATCCCCAGTAGGGGGCATGCGGGAGGCAGCCAACTGATGATTCTCCCATATCACTGATGTGTCTACCTCTCTCTCCCTCTCTCCAAAATCAAAAACTTTTTTTTTTTAAGAGGCCTGCACACCTGCTATATGCAGAGTCTTTTGGGGGAGACAACGATTTATAGACTTAGTTCCCAACCTCAGTTGTTAGTGTGTGTGAAGGGGCAGAGAGATTGTCAGCTGTAAGAAAAGATAATGACAATGTCAAAAAAATGGTGGCACCAGGGAGACTCCTTGAAGGAAGGAGGGTGCTTTTGACTAAGGGGATCCAAGCAGGCTTCATGAAGAAGTGGCACTGAAGCTGGGTCTACAGCAGTACTGTCCAGCAGAGTCATAATGCAAGCCCCAGATGTTGTTCTAAGTTTTCTAGTAGCCACATTAAGAAAGTAAAAAATGTAGACTTGATTTTATATTTTATTTAACCCTAAAGTATTATTTGAACTTGTAATTTCAATATTTGAAAAGTATTAATACATTATGCTCTAGACATTGCAGGTCTAGAGGATAAATATTAAAGTGCAGGGTGGGGGCGGGAGTAATGAGGTGTTGGGGCTCCAGAGACACCTGGGGAGAGCAAGCACTGAGGTTCGGTTAAAATCTTGGTTAATGTGGGACGTGTTAGAAATGCAGGGTGAGACCAGACCATGGTGGACTCCAAACACTTGATCCGATGAGTTACAAGGAGCTGGGGAGGCAGGGATTAAGCAGGTGAGAGAAAGGCAGTCTCAGTAAGCACCAGGGAAGTAGCATTAATGCAAAGCCTTCATTCAGAGGGTCTCTCAGAGTATCTTGATCCACGGAAATTATCTGCAGAGTGGCCTCAGAAGTAGTTTGAAGGCATAGTATTTCATTCATTTACTTGTATATGATCAAATTCTTCTTTTACATAATGGGTCTTTGGTGACCGATTTTTGATGATTGTTTCAGCACCCTAACAAGAAATATCCGGCATAGGAGAGGAGAAAAGGTTGTCATCAATGTACCAAGTAAGTAATAAGTCCACGGAGGTGGTAGGTGGGAGAGGTCCCTGTTGAATTGTTATTTAATCCTTGATGCTCACAATTCTTTTTTTTTCCAAATACAGTATTTAAGGATAAGAACACACCATCTCCATTTATAGAAACATTTCCTGAGGATGATGAGGCTGGGAAGGCTTCGAAGCCAGATCACATCTACATGGATGCCATGGGATTTGGGATGGGCAATTGCTGTCTTCAGGTATCATTTCAAATCCGCAGAGACAGAGGGCCCTCACCCACTTCTGTTTATAACTGCTCCTTTATGTATTTGTTTCCGTTTTAAAAATTGCATTTAATCGGGTTGAAATGGTAACTATTATGCCTTTCTGAAAACAGGTGAAGTTATTTTAGCAAATTCATGGGGAACTATCTCTTGACAGAATTTACAGAATCTATTTTTCACTACAAAAATATGTAGTTGTTAATTAACCTAAAATATGAACTATTCCCAGGTCATTGTCTCTGTTCTTTATATATGCCTAATTTTTGCTGCCATCTAGTGATGGTGTATCTTTGAGATTTTAAACACTGCTCAAATCTCATTTCTGAAAATGAACTCTGATGGATGCATTCCAGTGATTTTGTAATCAAGGGAAGGACTGTTTGGACTTAAAATTTTTATATTCATGGAAGGCCATCTAGCAGTATAAAAAGAATAAATAGCCAGGAGCAGGGCAAACATGGGCTGCTATGTTACACAGGAGGTAGAACAGCCTTTTTGGATCTAATCAGATCTCTGGTACCCCTGGCAGTGACTGTGCCCAGGCTCATTTAGGACCTGGGCAGGAGAGCCCAGAACTCATCAGGCAGCACGAGGCCTGTGTGCAGGGTTTGGCTTCTCTGGTATTTGGGTAAATTCCTTCACTTGTTTTGGCCTCACTTTTCTCAGCAGTTTAAAGAAGGGTTTATATTAAGGCCCCTTCTCAGTCTGACTCGAAGCTAATATTTCATTGTTTTTATTAACAGAAGTACGTTTTAACCTTTAATTTGTTTAAAATCCTCTTACAACAGGAGTTAAAAATTTGAAAATATAAGTTTCAAATTGAAAAACTTCAGATAAAAGAAAGAGAAGCCTCTTGTTATTTTTAAAGGAGATTTGATCTAGTTCTAACTATTTCAGCTGATTAGAAAGTGTCCTTGGAGCAATGGAAGGCCTGGCCCCGACATAAGGCCCCTCTTGGGCCTCCAGCCTGAGCACTCTCCACAAGGGAGCTGAGAAGCCAGCATCCCCATCATCTCAAACAGCTGCAGCATAGACACACACCTTCCTGCACATATCTCTAGTGTATTTATTTTTACAGCTACATGTAATCAAAATTGAATGCCAAAGTTTCAGTAACCATGGCCAATGATAGTTTTTCCCCCTGCTTTTCCTGACTTCCATAGGTAGTATAAAATATGTGCCATTCAAACAAACAGGCCACAAAGTTCCCTTACAAATTGTCACTTTGTAAAAAAGAGACCTTTTGACCGTTAACTGCCTATCTGCTTTCCTATCTCAATTACAAATATTTCCAAAGAGAACCATTAAGCTATAGAACTTCCAGTGACCTGCTTTAAACTTCTATCGGTGGATTGGAGCACTACTGGCCTTTTCTTGGTTTAATATTAAACCAGGGTGTTTTGCCAGGGACATCACAGTTGTTCTGTTCCAAAGGGCTATTCTTTCCCTTGAAATACTGTATTTATACAAATGAATGCAGTCTCCTGGTGGGGCGTTAACATTTTTATTGCTGGTAGATACAGTTTTCCACCTGGTTTAAGCTTTGCCATGGGATTAAATTTCTTTTTCTCAGTGGCATGTCTAGCGTCCCAGTTTCAATACTCAGAAAATTGGCACAGATATGAAGTGTGTGGCAGATGAGACAACTTCCATCAATCAACACAAATCCTTGCTTCGAATCTCTTTAGTGGAACGCTAGAAACTGCTGATTACTGTAAAGTAGAGAGAATGGTTAAGAAGTAATTGAAGATTAATGGAAAACTTACTTTATAAAAGAAAAAGTCATTTTAATCACAATCAGATTCTGACTCTTAGGGAGCTTTTCAGGAATCCTTTAATGAGTTCATGTCAGTGAGTTCCTGCATGTTGTAAGCGGTCTCCCCACCCCCCAGAAAGTCATGTGGCTTCAAACTGGGGTCTAGATCAATTTTAGATTAGACACTTGGGTTTCTAACATCTATTTTTCATACTTCCTCTTTTCCCCCATCTCATCAGTGTCCTGGTGACATTGCTTCTATATAACTTAAAAGGATACCAGGAGCCAACTGTTTGTATATTTACACCTTCTTAAGGTGTTAGAACTTTTTTCCCTCCCCCACTAAAGCCATTATCTGCAGTGATGTTGGATTTGGTTTGGTAATGACCATATCAGCTCTAGAGTAAGGAAGTCAGTTAGCAAATAGATTTAGAATAAGTTGCTTCACTGTTGTAACTCAGCTATTGAATTCCGGGTGCTGATTTTCTTAAGCATACTGGTCTAGATCGACTTTTCCAGGATTTGCCTGTGGATTGTGTAGTAAACACTAGGCCATCTAAGAGAAGCCAGTCAAAAAACAAAAGAAAAAATGTTTACCTAGTATCTTTTTAGAAACAAAAGTAACCCACACACACTGAAATACCCCAAAGTGACAAAATAGGACCTAAATAAACTAGAGATGTCTGTTCAAAAGAATTCAGTCAACACACTTTGGGAACACTTAGGTACTTGTAACCTCAACCCACGTGAATTTGGCCTGTGGGGGTCACAGGTTTTCAAGTATCTCACCATTTTATAAAAATAAAACTTGCCTTTGCCCCTGTGTTCTCCTCTTCAACAGCCTCATTCCTTCAAGGTACTGTATTCATTTAATAACTATATTAAATACTAATATAGTGTCAGACACTCTTCCTCACACTTGGGATAGAGAACTCAAGGCAGATAGATCCCTAGTGTCCTGGAGGTTTCCCTGGTGGGATCCAGCGGATAAGTGGGTCAGTACTTATCATATCCCATCTCCTCACTTCTCATTTAACCCTTACCTACAGAGACTAATCTGAGTTCCTGCCTCTTTCCAGAAACTACCCTTCTTCTGTTATCAGTGACCTAATTGCCAACCCTTCTCGGTCTTTATCTGCTTTAACCTTTGATACTCTGTATTTGTTCATGTCTGTGACACAGCTCTTCTCCATGTTGAATTAATCTGTAATGGCTGGTTATTACATTTTAATGAAAACATAGCCTTAGCATGGGAATTGTGGGATGATCAGGAACAAGAACCTGTCTGAACGATGGTTTTTTGTAATTGTCACACTGACCTGAAATGCCACTGATTCAGCAGGTGCACTTGTGACTCTCCACCAGCAGTTCTCAGCTTTTAAGAAATGCAAAGTTGACCTGACTAAAACTATTGGAACTACCAGGTTGAGACTGTAACAATAAACATACTCAGCTGTTATTTCAGGTATTAAGCACTTAAATCATTTCCTATGCCTACACTAAAGTCAAGCTATTGTTATTAAATAACAATGACAGAGGAAATTAGAATTGTTTCCAATTTGCAGTTAATATAGATGTGCTAACACAACTACTATTTATTTACCGTTCTCCATCTGCTCTACCCCAAAGAAGGTAGAACTTTTTTTTAGTTTCTTTTTAATAATTGTTTATGGAGGATTTGTACTAATCATTATGATCTTTTTCTCTGCCTAACTCTAAATGTCCTGCTTACCCATCCCATACAGACTCTGGGTGATCTGCCCATCTTCAGGACATCATCTGAGCCTACTCTCCAAATATTTCTCCAGCTCAGATTTTTCTCCTGGACATCAACTCTGGGACCCGGCCACTTAAAGGGCTTGTCTGTTTTCCTTGGCTCCATAAGCCCGTTATGTCATGGTTCCTCTTCTTTCTTTCTGTCCTGGGAACATCCAAGCCAAATCCTAAGTCACACGCTCACACTCTGTACCCCTTTGGTAACTAGAGCCTGCTATTTTGATTGCGCTGTGCTCAACTTTTTCTTAGATTGTTGCAGCGTTTGAACTGTCCTGCCTTCCTCCAGTCTTGCCTCTTCCAAGCTGTTCCTCATGCTGCCACCAGTGACCTTTGAAACCCATCCTTAGCATCTCCAAATCCCCTTTGTACCAAATGTATATAACCCCTCAGCCAACTGAAGTGAATGAGAAGCTCTTGAAAGAAACAAGCCAATAGAAGAAGAAATGCCATACTGAACTTTATCATTGATCCTAGTGTCTTAGTTTACTTTCTTGACTTTTTAAATCTTATTTAACTTAGGCACATGGTTATTTATATTAGTTGTGAACATGATTAAATACCATTTTCTAGCAAAATTCATCTAGGACAGTTTTTAAACAAAACTCCTGTATTAAATGTGTCATCAATTTCCCAGGCCCTCTTCCTTCTCCAGCCTTCTTCTCAGACTCCACTCCTTGGGGAGAATGTTAATGATTCTTTGTTAATAACTTGCAATTCTTAAACAGGTAACGTTCCAAGCCTGCAGCATATCTGAGGCTAGATACCTGTATGATCAGTTGGCCACTATCTGCCCAATTGTTGTAAGTAGAAATCACTCATTTTAAACGTTTTGTATAAAATAAACACCGCATGTGCAAAATTTGCTGAGTGTGCTATTTAAGTCCATTTAAGACTTCATTCAGAAATGAACTAACACAGATAATATGTAGATTAAGAGCCGTCTAAGCTGTAGACATTTACTGTTGTTAGTTAAGACATTTATGTGCAAAAGTGTCAAGTTTGAGTGTAGCCATCTTCTCTCTCCCATCCTTCATGTCCTCACATTGGAGAGGATGATATATATATTTTTTTTCAGTTTAAATTCAAGTCTCCTTTTTTTCTTTAATATGTCTTTATTGATTTCAGAGAGAGGAAGGGAGAAGGGAGGGAGAGAGAGAGAAACATCGTTGATGAGTCATTCATTGGCTGCCTCCTGCACGCCCCCTGCTGGGGATCGAGCCCGAAACCTGGGCATGTGCCCTGACCAGGAGTTGAACCTTGATCTCCTGGATCCTTGGTTGATGCTCAACTGCCGAGCCATGCTGGCCAGGCAGAGAGGATGATTTATTTATTTTTTAAATATATCTTTATTGATTTCAGAGAGAGGAAAGGAGAGGGAGAGAGAGACAGAAACATCAATGATGAGAGAGTCATTGATCAAGCCCACAACCCGGGCATGTGCCCTGACCGGGAATCGAACCCTGATCTCCTGGATCCTAGGTCGACGCTCAACCGCTGAGCCACGCCCGGCCGGGCCAGAGAGGATGATTTAAATGTATCGGCTCCAAGGATTTGAGTCACTTCCGGTTTTGTTTAACTATGACAAGCAGGCACAGATAGTAGAGTAGAGCTGTTGTATGGGTTGCATAACTCAAGATTCTTGACCACAGATAACTGCATGGAGCTTTCTTCAGCATGTAAGGGACACTTTGAACCTGCAGGTGCTGACTTCTGTTTGTTTTTAGATGGCTTTGAGTGCTGCGTCTCCTTTTTACCGAGGCTATGTGTCAGACATTGATTGTCGCTGGGGAGTGATTTCTGCATCTGTAGATGATAGAACACGGGAGGAGAGAGGACTGGAGGTGGGAATGATCTTTCCTTAATAGCCTTTTTATATCAAGCAAGTCAAATGGAGTTATTGTAACTATTTGCAGTTTTGAAATTTCCTTTAAATTTTGATTTAAGTTAGTCACATATGGGAAGAAATTTAAACCTGTCTTTGTGATCTTTGGCTTTATAGTGTTTGTTTTGGGGTGAATATGTGGGAAACGTGATTTGGTTTGGGTGGGGAATTAATTTTCATCATTTGTTTAAATCTGTATTTGTTTTATGTTCTAAAATGAATAGTGCAGGGTGTGGGGTTTTTTTTGGTTTTTTAATATTTTGAAAGTCATTGCTGATGGCTGCTTTTACCAAAAAGCTTTTTGGCGCTACATGAGTGCTTTGTATATGATGCTTTCTGCCGTGGAAAGAGGACTCTGTTGTCAAAGATTTTTTTACCTCATATAAAGGGTTAGATTTTGCCCAATAAGGGTTTGGTTAGTGCCTCTTGTTTACATGTTAAACTGTGACCTTACATTTCTCCAACCAAGAGTGTCCATTAGAACCACCTCTGGAGAGCTTTAAAAAATAGACACCCAGGTCCTTCTTAGACCTAACAAGTATCTCCAGGACTAGAACCTTGAGATAGGAGCCCTTATAAGTAATTCTGATGTTTTCAACCAGGATGCAATATTGCTGCTCTGGTCTTGATGCAATTACTCATAAACTGTTGAACATGCTTTCTAAAAATAAATGAACTTTAAAGGAGAAACCATTTTGATAGCTTTCTTCCACATTACAGACATTATTTTATTTACTGTTTTTTTGCTGTCAACCTTGGCATTTATTTCCCAAGCTTAATAAAAATTAACATGATCCACTTCGAAAAAGAAGTGCATTTAAATCACATACGGAATTTGTCTTTAGGCTTTTTAAATATAATTTTCCCTAATAATACTTTTCAGTGTTAACTTTTTTTCACGGTCTTATGTTAAGGTTGGACATTTTTATATAATTATATATAAAAACATGGCATTTTCATATAAATATCTGGGGCATTAGTTTATTTCCAGATGATTTTATATGGCATTCATTCACATTTTTTTAATTTTAGCCACTGAAGAACAATAACTATAGGATTAGTAAATCCCGATATGATTCAATAGACAGTTATCTATCTGAGTGTGGTGAGAAATATAATGACATCGACTTGACAATAGATAAAGAAATCTACGAACAACTGTTGAAGGAAGGTGAGCATCCATTCCTTTTTTTCCTCGATTTGATTGTACGCCTTTAGTTCTTCAAAACTTTTGCTGACTCCTGGTCTGGTTTCTGTTTTTAGTGTGAAGTCTCTAACTTTTCTTAGGAGGCTGCTTGTTCCCAAAGTTTCAAGTTCCAAATACTTGTGAGATCTTCTTGACTTTTAGCAAAAGGAACTTATTTGGAGGTCTGTGTCTAGGTCCACACCAGTGCCCCAGAAGGCATTGTGTAAGTAGCAACTAAAACTCTGCACCTCCCCAGGGCCCATAGGATAAGATCCTGGGCAACATGAGAATACTGAAAAAACCAGCCATTGCCTGAGCTTCTAGATAGCCGCTCTCCAAACCTCCTGAGCTGTCCTATCTTCTTGCAGGACTTAGAGAGCAGTGGAGTCTCGAGCTCTGCAGTGAGTCCAATGTGACCTCTCTTTGCAGGCATCGACCACCTCTTGGCACAGCATGTTGCTCATCTCTTTATCAGAGACCCGCTGACTCTGTTTGAAGAGAAAATACACCTGGATGATGCCAATGAGTCTGACCATTTTGAGGTATTTCCTTTAAATGCATTTTATCTCACCAAGACATAGGCAGTTTCCCATACCTGTGAGAAATTAGCAACAGTAGAAATCTCATGTCTTTCATTACCCAGTGCAGTAAAGAACTAAGACAAAATTTTTTTGTTTAAATTTTTATTTTTGTTTAAAATATTACAGATATCCTTTTCTCCCCAATGACCCGTTCCATCCCATCCCACCCCCCTCCCCAGTCCCTCTCCAAATCATTGTCCGTGTCCTTGGGTTGTGCATATATGCGTATATGAATTCTTTGGTAACTCTCCCCCTCCACCCACCCGCCCTCCTCCATCCCTCTGACCTTTGTCAGTCTCACCTATGCTTCCATGTCATTGAATCTATTCTGTTCATCAGTTTATTAAGTTCTTTAGATTCCACTTATAAGTGAGATCATGTGATGTTTGTCCTTCGCTGCCTGGCTTATTTCACTTAGCATAATTTTGTCCAGGTCCATCCATACTGTCCCAAAAGGTACGAGATTCTTCTTCTTTATAGCTGCATAGTATTCCATGGTGTAAATGTGCCACAGCTTTTTTATTTACTCATCTACTGATGGGCACTGGGGCTGTTTCCTGATCTTAGCTATTGTAAATTGCACTGCTATGAACATAGGGGTGCATATACTCTTTCTGATTAGTGTTTCAGGATTCTTAGGATACATCCCTAGAAGTGGGATCACTGGGTCAAAGGCAGCTCCATTTTTAATGTTTTGAGGAACCTCCATATTGTTTTCCATAGTGGCTCCACCAGCAGTGTGCTAGGGTTCCCCTTTCTCCACACCCTCGCCAGCGCAAGGCGTTTGTTGATTTACTGATGGCAGCCATTCTGACAGGTGTGAAGTGATACCTCAGTGTGGTTTTAATTTGCATCTCTCTGACGATTAGCAACATTAAGCATTTTTTCATATGTATCTTGGCCATCTGTGTGCCCTCTTTGGAGAAGTGACTAAGACAAATTTTAACTGGGTTTAAAGTACTTTTATTTGATACTTACTGGTTATGTCTCTGATTCTAAATTTCTTGTTGAGTATTTTCTCTTGTTTGCGTAATGTTGAAATTTTCTAGCAGGTCACACTCCAAGAAAATCTTAAATTGTACTTTTGTAATTATAAATGGAAGAGTATTAGGTATGGACAGTGAAGAGTCTTCCGTCATTATCAAGTCGTCTTACTATTTTCTTGGACCTTTAGAAAGCTGGTTTTCTTCTCGGCCTCTTTATTACAGAACATTCAGTCCACAAACTGGCAGACGATGAGATTTAAGCCTCCGCCTCCAAACTCGGACATTGGGTGGAGAGTGGAATTCCGGCCCATGGAGGTGAGGCGCACACCAGCATCAGCAGGCGACTGCCCATCGACCTCCTGACGCTCTTAGCAGAGGCTCACAGATTACCTGGGAGGCAGTACAGATTGAGTGTGTGCATGCTCTAAGCATGTCCAAAAGCTAGGAGGGTTGATTTCTGAGAATAGGTTGCGGGCAGAGGGCTTCCAGACCCAGATGGGAGATTAGGGAATGATGTGCTCCGAGGAGGGCCTTGTTGGGGAGCATGTTTGTGTGGTGGGTCTCTAACTCCTCTGGGCTCCTGCTTGTCTAGGTTCAGTTAACGGACTTCGAGAACTCTGCATATGTGGTGTTTGTGGTGCTGCTCACGAGAGTGATCCTTTCTTACAAACTGGATTTTCTCATTCCACTGTCAAAGGTAAGAACATATTCCAGTATAGCGATGGGTCTAGATACTTGTACACTGTTCCGTTCATTTATATATCGTATTTATTTGAAATCTCACCTTATTTAGGATTGTTCACCCTTTAGAATAAAATGCTTCTTCCTCCACCCTATTTTTTTCCTTTTAAACCTTTTTTCTTTTTGATACTACACTGGTGGAGCGCCCCCCCCCCCCC